AACTCCAAAGTTGCTCCTTTTTCCTTTTGGCTACTCATCATGTGAATCCGATTCCTTTGCATCAAGTCAAGTCGATAAAGAAAAAAAAAATTATGAAATCAATAACTCAGTAGTTATTTTTTTTTTTTAAGTAAAAATTTTAAATTTAAATAGTATAATATATAGATAAAGTAAGATAAAAGATGAAAAATGAAAAATAAAAGATGAAAGATGATTGTCTTTTATTGTGTAACCAAGATTAAAAAAAAAACAAAAAAAAAATCAGGGGAGAATAAAGTCCTAAGCAAGATTCCCAGAGAAAAGAAAATAGAGAGGAAAAAAATTTCCAATGTGGGTCATGATTCTGCATTACCTTCTTTAGATTTATCTTAAAGGTAATTTGGACCATCCATTTTGATCGGATGTGCTATTCCATTTGTCTGCTGGTTAAGATAAATTTTCTTTGCACAAAATTTTCTCTTGGGTATTTAATATTTGTTTTTAAAGTATATGTTAAGAATACAATTATTATATTTTTTTAATTATTAAATTACATAAGAAATATAAAATTTTAATTTAATTTAATTTAATTAATTAAAATAATACAAATTATATTGATACTAATATTAATATTAATATTTTTATTTTTTATAATAATAATTATATTTTTAACTTAGACCTTCAAACCCTTTTCTTTTATCAAGATGTGGTTCCATCTAAGGACGTTTTGCACATAAAAATGTGTTTATGGCATAAAAAAAAGTTATGTAATCTAAATTATTTACACAATTAAAATGTTTGAATGAGGGAGCTTTTTTACAATAAAAATCTATTTTTAATTTTTTACCTTAATAATTTATAAGTTTTTATCTTTCAGCTTATATTATGACATTTTTAATCTTTTATCTATAAAAATTGAAGAAAATGACTCTTATTTAATATCATATTAATTAACTATTAGTTTTATTAGTTAAAAGGGTTACAAACTTAAGCCAACATCTACGAAAAAAAAGAGGAAAGAAATTTCGAAATTACTTGAAAGTTAAAAATCAAACGGATAACAAATATGTATTTTTCACTAAGAAACTACACTTTTTTTCTTTTGTGTAGGACTTAAATTACACAACAGAAAAATATTCAGTCCATACTGTAAAAACACATGTCGCAATGGATAATAAAACCCATTAAAAGTCCAAACTGTCAAGCCTTAATAGAATGCCGATGGCGCCTTATTGGCCCTAAAGCTTGGCAAGTAGATGGATTTGGGTTTGTCATCAAGAACCTCCTGGCCTTTATGTCCAAGTTGGATCGTTGACCTCGATGACCCAGCATTTCAGCCCATTAAAATTGAATTAAGCTTGCTGAACCCATTTCACCTGAATAACAAGATAAACCGAACTCAAATGTAGCTTTGGCTTTGGTTGGGACTATTTAATTGTTAAATTTTATATTAATTTAATTATTGCCCGTCAAACTATTAAAAAAAAAAAAGTTGGAATTCTAATTTATATTTAAAAATTAAAATTTTAATTCAAAATTTAAAAATTCATTTAGTTTTTAAATCTAAATATTAACATTTAATAATATAAAATTTTAAATTTTAAATTAAATTTTAATTTTCTTAAAAATCAGAATTGATATGTATTTTTTTTATATTTATTATATAATAAATTATAATTAATTTATAAATAGATATTTTTAAATATCATAATTAATTGTTTAAAAAAATACAAACTAAAAAAAATTACAGATATAATGAGTAGTTTTAACAAAATAAAAGGTCACAATAACCCGGGCAGTATTTCCACTGGCTCTTTCGTTTTTTGGAGGTAGACATGAAACTCAAACAAAAGTCTGGCAGCCCCAAGTGGGCGAGCTCGAGCTGCCATAAGAGCGGCAGCAGCAGCAGCAGCAAATGGTAGGAGGGTGCAGGACCCTGATTACATTCCCAGCGGACCCATCTACTTGAATGCCAAAGCCTTTCACTGGTAACTTATTTGATTCCTGCAATTTTTATGCCATTTAGTTCCATGACATTGCTTCAAACTTTCTGAATAGTAGGAGCCACCTAGAGAAACTCAACTTTATCCTCATCTAAGCCTCACTGTGGTTAATTTGTGTTGAATGTAGAAGTTTATCTCTATGCACACGTAACTACAATACTAAATTCGTTTGCATGCTCAATCAAGTCCCTTTACAGGACCCCCACTTGATGCAAAATATCAAATGCTACAAAATCAGAAAAGGGACCAGGAGTCCCTACTTGATGCACATTCACTTCAAATTCCATTCTCACATTGTCTCTCTCTTTGAAGGCAAAACCCCCTCTAAAGCCCCCACACTTATCTAAAATTAATAAATGAGCCTCTAAACTAAAAATGGTACAAATAAATGCTTAAAGCCCAATGATGCAAATGAACCCTCAAACCCAACAAAAGATGCAAATCAACCCTCATCATTAATTCTTGAAAGAAAACATTCTTCACCTAACAACTAAATTAGGAA